TGAAAACTAATGATTTAAAATCTGTGCCAATAATCAATGCTGAAAACATATCTGCGCAGAATTTATCGGAAGTTCATTCTTCAGTTTTTGCAGCACCAGTTACAACTGCTCCCAAATTTATTAAACCTGCTCAACGTGGTGTTAAGCTTGAAGTAACAAGTGATAAAAATTTAAATGAACATCAGGATAAAGTCATTGAAGATTCGGATATAGATAATAAAGATAACAAATTGAAAAGCGTAGAGTTTCCTTATAAACCTCCTTTGTGGGGTGGTATACCAGAAAAACACTATTTCATTACCATTCTTAAAGATGGTTTAATTAAAGACACAATTACTTTAGAGTTTAAATCACACCTAACATTTGGAAGATTCAATACATGTGATGTTTTTTTAGAACACCCATCTTGTTCTCGTTATCATGCTGTTATTCAATATTGTGCTCTTGAAGAAGGAAAGCGGAAAAAAGGTTTTTATCTTTTTGATTTGGGAAGCACTCATGGTACATTTTTGAACAAAGAGAAGATCAAACCTAAAGTATACAGCAGAATTAGGGTCGGGTATCAATTAAAGTTTGGTGGTAGTTCTCGACTTTATATCATTGAAGTAAGACATTTTTAATATCTATATAATAAAGTGAGATATCGCAAGTTACTTGTTTCTGTGATCACATTGTTTTGAAAATATTTTTTGGAAGGTTTAAGATATTTTTTATACAATTTTCTGTGTTGTTTTATTAATTCTGGTAACTAAGGTAACCTGGTAGTTATGTGATTTATGTGGTTTATGTGGTAATTATATGGGTTTTTATAATATTAGTTATATTTTAATTAATTACAATTCACAATCCCACAATCATTTTTTATTGTTTAATTTAGGTTTAAAATTGTTTTCAAAAGCAGATTCAAAATCCCTATTAATTTCTTCATTAAAAATTATCAATATATATCAAATTCCCATTATTGTCTTAAGGACTTGTAAATAGGTGTAATTTTTCCATATTAAATTTTCACATTTTTGGGTTATCTATTATATACATATCTAACATTTTTGGGTTAAAAGTAATGAGTATTTGACTTTAAACCTTGTTTTTGGGTCTTCCAATCCCTTCTTTCATTATTGTTAAATAAAAATTTGTTATAAAAATGAAACAATGATTTGAAAGAATAGACTCTCTCTATATAAATGTTAAATTGTTAACTTTTAATAGTTCAAATGATTTGAAAAGTCTGTTTTGAAAAATGATTTGAAAAGTTTTTAAAATAGGGACCAAATGAAGACCAAGAGGAAGAAATAGATATTGATATTTTGCGAAAGAGAATGTTGGAGTATGAACAGCACAAGAAGTCATTTTCAAAACCACAAACCTTAACTCAAGCTGAAATATTAAATGACTCTGATCAAATCAATGAAGATGAAGGTGCAACATGGGGATTTGGTATAAAATCTGTTGTTGTTGGATTATAATAACTATTATATTTTTTTCATTATTTTCGTTGTTATTATTGTTTATTATTTTTATATATGAAATTTTACACAAGATAGTGATATCCATGAAAATGTGTTAAAAAATCCAAAACTTAATATCTCTATCCATTTCTCTATCAATTGATGGTCACATACAGTTGCCTGCTGCCTTAAACTCACCCTAAAGTAACTTCCTACTTTAAGTCTTCAAACAAACTAATTCTATTGGCTCAAAAAATAGGCTGACTAAGCAAAATAAAGTTCTAGAGTATTCTGTTGAATTGTTTTAAAAATTGTATTATTCACGATTTGTTACGTTTTGAGATTTCTAGCATAAATTGTTTTAAGAATACATTATCAAACGAACTTTAATACTATGGCTCATTCTCGGAGCCACATCTGCAAAGCCATAAATCTTTTAAACTATTATTATTTGTTTACAAAAATAAATGTTTTATATTATATATTTTTTAAATTGTCAAAATTTTGAAAGTTTATTATAAATTATAGATTTTATTAGTATATTTTAATTTTTTATTTAAAAAGTATGTATATTTTATGTAAATGTAATTTTGTGTATCTGTTTTTTATTCTAATGTAATCTTTTAAAGCAATTTTTATGATTTACTATATAAACAAAGACTTACAACAATAATTGTGTTTTCAATGAAGTTATTAATAATCATCAAAGTTAACAAAAATAAATTATAAAATAAATATATAAGAAGTTTCTGGTTATTAAACACAAACATTTCATACAAAGTAACTTGCGGATCCACAAGCACCACGCCTGAGGTCACAACAGAACACAAATATATATAGCAAGTTATTAGATAAAAAGAAACGTTTTTAGATATTGGTTTACTAACTCTAATTTGCTTCAGTTGCCATTCTTAAAAACTCGTTAAACTTTTTTCTGTTTTAAATACTAATTAAGATTAAAAAGTCCACTCACTAAACATCATCAGCGATATTGTGAAGCAGTTTCGCCTCCTTCTCATAAAGTATTTTTAACCTTATTAGTTGATTTCTATCTAGTTAATTTAATTTCTATAGTAATTTAATGATTTAATTATTTCATTTGTTCATCTTACTAAGAAGAATTGTTTCAAATATGTTAAACTTTTTAAACTATGCGAAGCATAAAATAGTTATTAAAAAAATTAACCTTTTAATTTATAAAATAATTCAACTATAAGTTTTATTTATAAAATAAAACTAAAAGTTGCGTTAGTTCTATTAGAATCTTATTAGACTTTTTGGCCAAGGGCTATTTTTATTTTGGATGCCATTTTATGCGCCACAGCGTAAAAACTACTATAAAAAAGGTCTTCTTGACTTTTTCGGGGCCCCTAACATTGTGGGGCCCAGGGCTAGAGCTCCCTCTAACCCCAACCCTTCTTAATCTAGCACTGGAAATAAGACACCATTATTTAAATAAAAATTATATTACACTCTTTGTTAAATGAAGAACATTTGTTTCCTTTTTAAACAATCGTTTTTAAATAATTGTGTTTCAAAAATTTTGTTCTAAATGTAATTTATTTTGTTTTAAGTTTTTTCGCATTAAAAGATATCTTATTTTCCAAATTTTTTATTTTTTTTTGTAATTGACTCTCATTGATCCAATTAATCTTTTGCGCTTTTTTTTTTGCTTTTTGAAATATTCTCAAAACAACTAAAAAATCTGGCCTGTTTTTCGTAACTAAATATTATTTCCAGTAATTGAGAGCGATCGCTCCTGCTTCCTGACCAAGCCTGTTACTAGCGGTCTTTGTTTATCTATTACTAGTGTTCTTGGAGGTTTAAATAAAAATAGCTAGATTAAAATAGATTTAAACTAGAGATTTGCTAAGGCTGTCACAGTTTATCTTTGTTATCATTTTTCTTAGTTCTCAACTTTTTTTTATATATTATATTATCTTTATATTTTTGTTTACCACATTTTTAAAATTTAATGCATAAGACAATTTAGTGAATTTGCTAAAATTTTCAACATTTCTTTAAATGTTGACATGTTCTTACATGTTGACATGTTCTTACATGTTGATATGTTCTTACATGTTGACATGTTCTTACAGGTTGACATGTTCTTACATGTTGACATGTTCTTACATGTTGAAATTTCTTACATGTTGACATGTTCTTACATGTTGAGATTTATTTAGTTTATTAGAACATTTGTATTTTTAAAGTTTTAATATCATTATGCTCATTAAACTATTTATTATCACTAGCAGTAAGCAACCCCTAATTTGGGTTGTTAGTAAATAAAATTTAAAAATAAAACGCGTATAGAAAAGCCTAGAAACTACTTTAAAACAGAAAAGCCTAGAAAATGGCGTAAGTCAACTATTAACTACTATTAAATTAGCGTATTAATATTATCAGATGCTATGTAACTATTTCTCATATACCTCATTATATATGTTACATCATCATATGTAACTATTTATCATATAGCTCATCAAGAAATTTACTGCATTCTTGCTTATTAGTAGTAAATCTATGTTTTGTTAAAAAAAAAATTTTAATATTTTTTTATGAAAACATTAATTTTTGAAACATAAATTATAGCTCTGAAGCCATTTACAGCAAATAATTTATTAAAAAATTACAGTATTTAAAAATGTTTAAATATTACAGTATTGCTTATTTTGCACAAACAGAATAAGATATGAATTGCAAGCATTTGTATACCATTTGAAATAAGAAATACTTTAATTGTTTATGTTCTGAAAAGAAGTTTTTATATCTAAAAGAAGTTATTATCTAAAGTTTTTATATCTAGAAGAAAATATTATCTAAAGTTTTTATATCTAAAGAAATTATTATCTAAAGTTTTTATATCTAAAAGAAGTTATCATCTAAAGTTTTTATATCTAAAAGAACTTATTATCTAAAGTTTTTATAATGATAAATATTATAGAGCCCTAAGTCCACAAATAATAAAAAATAATTTGTTAGTTTTTATAATGATAAATATTATAGAGCCCTAAGTCCACAAATAATAAAAAATAATTTGTTTTTCATTAAATTAATACTTAATATTTTTAGGCGAGGATGCAACTGATGAAGGGATCAATTTAAAAGAATTGTTTGAGAAGAAGAAGGATATAGAAATAAAAGATCCTAAAAAAACACTTAAAGGATTTTTTGAGCGAGAAGGTATTATTGAAAGATTTTTAGTAACATATAATAAATAATGTTTTTAATCAAGTCGACACAAATCATGAGTGTGTTTAAATCTAATTAGTCTTTTCATAATCAGTAAACAAACATTTGTGTTTAAATGTTTTTTCACAATTAGTAAACAAACATTTGTATTTAAATGTTTTTTCATTATCAGCAAACAAACACTTGTGTTTAAATATTGAGTATAACTTTTTCTATTAAAATTTTACTTTTTAAAAAAAAAAAAAAAAGAAAAAAGACAGATTCAAATTAAAAACTGTTATCTCTACTATTAAAGATTTGTTTCTGTAGCTCTTAAAATTTGTTTCTGTAGCTTTCATTATTTGGCGCGTTTCTGTACTTCTCCCTTAAGAAGATTGAGTCATGTAGTTATTTTTGTTACACCAATATATTTATTTGACATCTAATTATTTTCAAATTAATCTATATTCTTATTATTTTTCTGTTAGGTTCTTGTATAAGTAATATAAAAATCATCTTTTATGAAAAAATAATTATACTGTGCATAAAAACATTATTTATCTTTGAGTGACCGATTAAGTCTCCCAGGAATTTTATAATTTGTCAAGTTTAAAAAACCCTGGAAAACTTATAAGGTCACTCAATAAAAATCAATATTATCACTCATTAAAAATCAAAATTTTATCAATAAAAATAGATTTCAGTACATCTATTCCTATTAAGTAATTATGGCTGTTAAAATTATTTCAAACAGTTGGTCTTTAGAAATGAAATTAAGAAAACAAAATGTTTATGTTAAGTTTTATGCAAAAATGAGATAAAGTATTAACATGTTTTCGTCTGATCCATAGATCAAACTAAAAGATCTAAGAATCAAACTAAAAGATCTGAAGATCAAACCTAATAGATAAGATATCTAAAAGATTTTTGAGTAACAGTAAGATTTTTAACCAACATTTAACCATCATCAAAGTTTAACCAACATTTAACCATCATCAAAGTTTAACGAATAGTTAACCATCATCAAAGTTCAACCAACAGTTAACCATCGTCAAAGTTTAAGCAACAGTTAACCATCGTCAAAGTTTAAGCAACAGTTAACCATCGTCAAAGTTTAAGCAACAGTTAACCATTACCAAAGTTTAACTAATAGTTAACTATCACTAGCAAGGAATTAAAAGTTGACACATAGATAATTTTTCATTTACTTTCTGATTTTTGCGTAAAAGATAAGACTATTTTAATATAAAATTATTTCATGACTATCCCTAGAAGGATATCATTTTGATTAATTTTTGATACAATTTTGATTAATAATATATTTTTGATTAGGTTTGGAATTAGAATATGAAATGACTGAAAAAGGAAGTGGAAGTTCTTTGCTTCATATAGCTCAAATACGGTTTGATCTTTGTAATTTATATGAAACTCTAAAATATAAATGCAATTCTAAAATTTTGTAGCTTATAATAAAAATATATTTTATACTAATACAATAGATTTCAAGATGTTGGGTGGGTTAATACACCATAAAAGGTATTGCAAAAACTGAAATTGGAGTTTGTACTTTATAGAAAGTAATTTATAAATAAATACTCCATAAAAGATAATTTTTGAGTTTAATTTCTGTAGAAGGTAATGTATCAACATGAAGGTAAAGAAAAAGTCTAAAAAAACAACAGCAATCTTTCCATATTATTCTTTTTGTTATGGTTTTTTGTGATATATATATATATATATATATATATATATATATATATATATATATATATATATATATATATATATATATATATATATATATATATATATATATATATATATATATATATATATATATATGGTGCCCAAGATTTTCCTTGGTCCTAGGAACAGAACAAAAAGTAAAAATTTGTAAAAAAAGTAAAAACCTTACAACAGAACAAAAAGTAAAAATTTGTCACATAGTGTTAATTAAAGTTATTAAGAATTAAAAAACATTAAAAATGTATAAAACATTACAAAACATAGATCAATTAAAAGTATTATATTAAATTTTAACATACGAACACTTTTTCTTTTTTTTAAATAAAAATCATTTAATAGTAGTATTAATAAATTTTAATTAAAAAAATTTAAATATTTATCTTTTTAATTTTAAAGTAGTTAGCAATAATAACTCCATAGTAGCTGCTAATAATTTCATAGCAGCTGCTAATATAATTCAAGCTAATTATGCATCTTGGACTGGGGTAACAATAAAGATACCAATCTGAAAGCTTTAATTTTTTAGACTTCCCATTGATGTTGGTGATGCAGATTTTGTAATTGCTGAAGGAAGTTCTTCAAACAAAAAGGATGCTATTTTGAATTGTGCTAATGACGCTTGTAAGATTATTCAAGCATATGATATGCTGCAAAATAAATCTAGAGGTTTTTAATTTTCTATGAAATATTTTTCTTTAATTAGTTTGAATAAAAAAAAGTTTTCTTTTTCATTATTTTTAACTTAATAGTTTTGTTACTAAGCAACTTAATACACTTGTACTAAGCAAAGTAATGTTTAGAAGATCACAAAAGAAAACGTCAACGTGAGCTTGAAGAAAATGATTTTTACAACTCTGATGAAGATACATTCTTGGATAGGACTGGACTTAGTTAGTTGATGTATTTTTTTTATTTAATAAAAAAGTAATTTTTATTCATGTTCTTAAAATTAGGCTTTTTTTTTTTCACTTCACCACAAATTTGCCACATTCAAAACAATTTTTCCTGGAACGACATTAGTAACTATATTTACTAGATACATTTAGAAAAAGTTTTCCATCAACATTAATATGATGTCATTTTGATGAAAAAAAAAGTACTTACTATTATTATAATTTGTTTTCCATTTAAAATTTGTACAAAATTCTTGAGCAGAATAAAAAGTTTTATGTTCAATGTCAGCAAATTTCATTTGTGAATGTTTTATGCCCATTTTTCAAAAAAATGATTTATATATATTTTTAAATATTAATAATTGCAACATGATCAAAAAATCTTCACAACATGTTTATTCAATAAATAAGTAGGAGCAAAAAAATAAAGTTTGTCATAACTATTTCATTATATTTTACTTTACTAAATTTGAAAATAATTTGAAAATAATTTGAGTCCTGAATATTATATATTATAGTTGAGAAGAAGCGATTAAAGAGAAAGCAATGGGCTGGTAAAAAAGAAAAAGAAGAAGTGGAAACATTCCAATCTTTGGTAATTTTTATTTTATTTGAAATTACATTCATTATAAATTTCAGGCTAATTGGTGGATAGATTTACTTACACAAACACTTAATAAAATTTTCTGAACTTATTATATACATATATATGTTTTTTATTATTATTATTTTTTTTTATTCTATACTTATAGCTAAATATAGCTTAAATAAACTACAACAGGTAAAAAACAGCTCTTAAATTATATTAAATTAATGTGTTGGTATTATAATATTTGTTTTTTTGTTTTACTTTATTAAATGTTATAAAAGTAAAAACAATAAATATGTTATAAATATAAATTTTATATTAAATAAATTTAATACAAAGAGTAATATGGTAATAGCAATAAAACCCTTTTTTTTTTCCATTTGGTTTATCATTTTCTTTTTTTCATTTTATTGTGCTTATTCATATATATATATATATATATATATATATATATATATATATATATATATATATATATATATATATATATATATATATATATATATATATATATATATATATATATATATATATAATAATAATTATTATTATTATTATTATATATATATATATATATATTATTTATTTGTTTTTTTCTACATTATAACAATAGCTTTTATTAGTGAGTATTTTAAAAGTATTTTAAAACAGCTAAGTGAGATTATGAGATACTATATAAACATGAGAAATATTTTATAAAAGTTTTTTTTTTTTTAACATCTTCATTTACAACAAAGCTGCAAGCAACCACTATTAGAGTTAGAATTAATAGACGACTTAAAAGATTGAAAGTTATATGAATCAGGAAAACAAGAAATTTTTAAAACTAGATTGGAACTAAATTTGGAAGATCTAGATTATTACAATAATGGTGAGCTATAAAAAAATTGAGTTTTATCTCTTCATCTGTTAAAGTTCACCAGCCACTGAGAGCCCCATGATGTAACAAAAGTAAAAACCTTTTCAACTTTAAAAGCCCTCTCTAAGCAATCACAGAGTGGTGGTTTTTTATCAAGACAAGAATAAATGGTAGTATCATCAGCAAACAATGCCACCTGCCACTTTAGATATAAGAATTTCTGAAAGATTGTTATTGTAAATTAAAAAAAAGTATATGGCTAAAGATAGAATCTTGAGGAACCCCTGAAGTTACAAGATATGAAGAGTGCTGTCCATTGAGGACAATTTTTATACTTTGATTTGTATTGAAGGATTCCATTATCTTAAAGATATTACCTGATAAACCTTAAAAGAAAGGTTATGGAGAAGACCAGCACGCCAAACTATATCAAAGGCTTTAGAAATGTTGAGAGTGATAGCCTTATCTATTTAATGCTCAATAAAACCTATTAGTTATTACTATTAACAAATCAGCAGTAGAACGATAAGATCGAAATATGTTTTGAATGTATAGACGACAACTCTGGAGAACACTTCTGCAAGACTATAACAGGTCTGGACCAAAAGCTGTAGAAGAGTGAAAATACTTACTAATTATTACTTCCTAATTAATTAAATACTACCTAATTAATTAATAAATTACAGGAAATTACTTTTGGTAATTTCCTGTTTGTCAGGTAGGATGTGACTAGTGGAATCAAGAGATGGGGTTGATTAAAAATTCTTAGCAAACAATTCAGCTTTGTCTTTAGGTGAAGTAACAAAATCTGAACCATACAAGAGAGGAGGTATAACAGATTTACCCTTATTATAGACACATTTAAAGGTTCTCCAGAAGTCATGAGAATTTTTGAGATGAAATACAAGATTTTGAGTCCTAAGAATAGTGGGCTTTGGAAAAACCTTTTTACAATTGTTTCTAGCAATAGTAAACAGATGTCTGTATTCTGGAAAATTCTTTTGGCAATAGATATGGAAGTAATGGTAACAATTGGAAATTGTAGCAGCACAATGTGAGGAAAACCATGAATAAAAGATTCCATACCAGCCTGAATCCAAAAAGTTACATAAGGAGTACAAATGTCAGCAGGAAGACAAAACATTTCTATCCAAGAGCCATCACGAAGAAAATCATGAAAACAGTCCCAGTCAGCTTTTAGGTAGGGGATTCTGATGATGAATAAGAATGAGATAATAGTTTTAGAGAGATCAAACTGTGATCAGAAGCATCTAAGGGTCAATGTGGAGAAACGGAGCACTGACTAAGATCAGAAACAGAACATAAGTCAAGTAGAGAAAGTAAATGATTCGGGTTGTTTGGAAAGCGATATGGAAAGGCAAAAGTTGTAGCCCTTAACACCTGCAGAGCTACCGACACAAGAACCAAGCCATTCAGTGTGATGAACATTAAAGTCACCAACGACAACGATGTTTACTGAAGGATTAAAAGAAAAGGACTTCGTCGATTTGATTGGAAATAATATCGAAAAGCAGTCTTGAGATAACTGAGAGCAATATAGAACAAAGAAAAAGTTGATAGAGTGAAGTAATGCTAAACAAAACCATACAAAAGAATAGTCTGTGGATTCAAACTTAGTTTCTCAACAAATGGGTGAATTCTTACGAATGTAAATGCACAGGTCAAGCATGTAATGATTATCTTCTTTTAATTTGTAAAGCAAATTCTTTACAAATTAAAGGAAGATAACTAACAACACTAAGATCACAAGTTGAGACAGCTGAACTTAAATTAGTCTCGTAATGAGCAAGTAGGTCTTGTAAACATTGCAAGAGATAAAACTCAACTGAATAAAATTTACTTTGAAGACCACAAATATTAGTGAATGATAGATTTAGGTGAACTTGGTGATGATAATGGTCTTTTGTGATTTGTAGTTTTTGATACTTTATTCATTTTCTAAATTGGTTAAAGAACTTGACTCAAAGCACAGATAGTACTTAGTACAGTATCTAATAGTCCAAGCATAGCCTCATTATTATTGATAAACTATAAGCCATAACAAAGGGCTCCAAATGTGCCCTTGAAAATGCACAGCAAAAGTAAAAACAGGAACACCATCCATGCACAACATGGCACTGATGTTTTACAGCTGTTGATAAAATCAGCCTCTCAGAGAGCTACCACAGAGTTTAAGAAACCCGACTAACAACCGACCTCAGAGCCATAAAACTGAGTTTTAGAGCTGTACTCTCATTAGGAAATAGTAGAATGAGTTGAGTCATAAAGACCGAGACAAAAAAAATCCATGCAATGAGCCAAGAAGATCCAGCATTCAACATCCTAAACTGGAAACAATGTATTATAAATACATCTATGCCAGCCTAACAGATGAAGAAGGGGTGCTAAGCTGGTCAATAGATACAATCTTTTTACCCCAATAGCAGCATTATGTTTTCGAATTTCGAGAAGTTGTAAATTTATTAACTACTGTAAACTTTCACACATTTGAGGAATATACTGACACTATTATAAAAAGAATTCTTTAGAATCATTTACTTCTGCTTTTTTTTTAAAAAAATCATTTTTATAATGGGGATTTAATAAAATTATTTTTTAAGCTTAATATTAATTAGCTCACTTATTTTTATAGTTACTTATTTTTATAGTTTTTCAGAAATTAATTTTCAGCATAGTATGCATTTTTTGGAAATAATATTATATGCAGGTGCTGTCTTAAGGATGGACCAATTCAGTATAAAATCATCAATATTTTTGTCTTTTAATTCCTGTATGTTTATATATATATATATATATATATATATATATATATATATATATATATATATATATATATATATATATATATATATATATATATATATATAATTTTAAAGAATGGTGTTAATTAGTTATATTTTTTGACAGCAAATCAAAGTTGCAGCAAAAGAAAAGGAACTGCATGATTGTGAAGAAAAGTTAAGTCGCAATAAAAAATGTGAGATTTATGTAAATTTTTTCATTTAAAAATAAATTTGTAACTTGAAAGTTTATTTATTTTAGCAGTTTAGCACAACTTAAGCATAGTTTTTAATGATAATGAGATAGTAAGAGATAGTGTATATTTAATAATAAAGATAATATATATGATAACAGTTTGATTTTGTATTGTAATTGCTGTAATTTTGCTTTAATTCAATTGAATTAAAGAAAACTTTGTGCTAATTATTAAAATTTATTTTTATTTTTTACATTTTAACTTGGCTAAGAACATTGTGTTAACATAAAGTTTTTAATTATTTTTAGTTAGTGAAGAAGTTAATGATGAAGACTCATTAGATGCTTATATGGAAACCATGTCCAACTCATTGGATGCAAATACAAAAATGAATCTGAAAAGAAATGTCTTAATCTTGCGAAAAGTATTATTATTTTTTCATTATTTATTAAATAATTTTAACTAGTTTTTTAAATATTTTTTTATTTTACTAGGAAATTGCAAGCCTAAAGGCGCTAGTGGAGAAAGCAAGACCAGCTTCCCTTCCTGCGCTCATGGAGACAAAAACATTTACCCTTCCTGAGCTTTCAATGTAATTGTTTTAATTTTCATGTTTTTTTTATTTCTTTATATTAAGACCAATATAATTATTAAATAATATTTGATTTTATGGAATTTTAGGGAAAGGGCAGTTAATCAGATTAAAGGTTAAAAATTAAGTTATATTTCTTTACTGTAACCATGTATCTGTTTCAAATTAAAATGATTAAAATAGTTAAAATTAAAATAGTTTAAATTGTTAATTATTTAAATTATTATAAGAAATTATTTTAAGATTAATTTTTTGATTTAGAAAAGGAACTTGATATACCATTACACAATCAAAAGGCTGCAGAATTCAAACAACAGACAACAGTTGAAGAAAAAAAAGTTGAAGAAAGTATTAAAAATATAAATTATGAACAAAAAGTGGAAAAATCTGAGAATAAATCAAGCAAGGTAATTAAAAATAGTTGTGTTATATCATAATTATTTGTTTTTTGAGGGACGCATTCTTTAAGAACACCAAAAGTTTTTCAGCTTGAGTGCCTTTTAAAAAGGTTCAACATAAAAAACCAAAAATTGTTTTAAAAATTGTTTTAATTCTTTTAAAAATATTTGTGGTCTTCAAAGTAACTTTTTATCTATTGAATCTTACATGCATAATTCACCAGACTCACTTTCTCGTTTTGAGATTTAGATTTTTAACATAATATATATTTTAAATAAATGGTTTATGTAGTTCTGCAATATATTTTTTTTATTTTTTTTTTTATTTGAATTTTCATACTATATTTTTCTATACAATGTTCTTATATCCGAAGATATTGTTGGCTTAGTATAGGAACAGCCACAAATAGTCATTAAGACTAATCCAAAGTAGCATCCGTTATAAAGACAAGTTTATCTAATTAAATTTAAATTTGACTGTTTCACATTCAGCTGTTTTATCTTCAGCTGTTTCATCTTTGGATCTCAGTGTTGATGGCTCTTATCCTTTTATTCGCAATCTCGCTTGGCCAGATCAAACCATTAATTAGCTATTAAATCAGGTCTGAATTCTCTGAATCAAACCTGATTTAATAGCTAATTTAAAAAGTTTCTGATTTAATTTTTTAAATCAGAAATAAATCAGAAAAAAAAAAAGGATTATTATTTTATATAGGATAAAAATTTTTTTTTTATCCTATATAAAAAAATTATCCTAATGCAAAAATGTTTAAAGATTAAAAAAAGCTTACTCTTTTGAAAGTGCTAATTGGTAAATTAGTCTCACAAATATTATTATGGAAGAACACCGCTAAACTGTAAAAAAACATGTATAAACTGTTTGGTGACACCCCTCAAATATGGAACATTCTACTTAGTACAATATATTCTAAGTTAAAACTGGTTTAGGGGCCATCTATGTATGATGTGAGCAAAAATCTCTAGATTTGGACCCCCTGTATCTTGAACATTTTTATACCCCCCACCCCATGCGTATGTATGCTTGGTGGTCTTACCTCCTCCCCTCACATATAAGTTTCATATGCTTGGCGGTTGACTTTTCTCCCCCCAATTCCATTTATGCATGCAAATGTGATCACTTTTTTTTTTTTGCGCTGTTCAACTTTTATAACCTTAACAGGCCATGAATGTGAGTGGTATTCACCTTTTATTAATGGGCATGAGAATGTGAATTATCACCTCAATTTTTTGTGTTTGCGTACATACAATTGTTGGACCCTCCACCCACTTCCAATATACTCTTGTAAGCAAATTACTCAACTTGGGACACCTCCCCCCTTGGTGCATATGTAATATATAGATGTCCCCTTGCCTAAAATAGTGCTGTTAAAAAGGAGTAGTGGTCTAGTGGTAGAATGTTTACATCATTTTTGCATATATATGTATATATATATATATATATATATATATATATATATATATATATATATATATATATATATATATATATATATATATATATATACATATACATTAGGGCTGTTCGGTATGCTAATTTGTTGTTCATATACATTAGGGCTGTTCGGTATGCTAATTTGTCAGAACATAGCTAATTGAAGTTTTTCCCATTCAACTATCATATTGTGGTTCAAAAATATTTTTTACTAAATTTTATTATTTGCCCTAAAGGTCCCTCAAAGCCACTAAACATTTGACAGGTCCCTAATATTATTAAAAAAAAATTATTTAAAAATATGTCAACTTGGTACTCAAAAGAAGCAAAATTTTATAAAAATTTTAAAAATTAGATTCAATTTTTATAAAAAACAACTTAAAAAAACTTATTATTAAAAATGTTGTGAATATTACCTTTTTTTTATTTTTCGTTTAAAAATCATAGTTTTTATTCAAAAAAACCTAGTATTGTTTTTTTTATAAAAAATACTTTTTGTCCTTGAAATTTTTAAATGATTTTGCTTCTTTTGAGTACCAAGTTGACATATTTTTAAATAATTTTTTTTTTCAATAATATTAGGGACCTGTCAAATGTTTAGGGGCTTTGAGGGACCTTCAGGGCAAATAATAAAATTTTGTAAAAAATATTTTTGAACCACAATATGATAGTTGAATGGGAAAAACTTCAATTAGCTATGTTCTGAAAACAAATTAGCATACTGAACAGCTCTAATATACATATACGTATACATACATACATACATATATACATATATACATATATACATATATACATATATACATATATACATATATACATATATACATATATATATATATATATATAT